CAAGTTGGAAATGGCGAGTGAATTGTGCAGATTGCAAGCGTTGTGTGAGATTGAAAAGTAAATCTATCATTTGCTTCAATCATTGACACAATTCTTTTTTTTTTTTTTAGTAAGAACATTGACACAATTTTACGTGGCACTGACAATGCTGCCATGGATGCAAAATTTAACCTTGTTAATAACACTATTTGTGACACATCATCAACTCCTACTTGCTCAGGGACTAATTCATTAAATGCATTGAAGTTTAGGGTTTGGGTTGGTGAGAATCGGAATTGTTTTTTTTAATTTAAAAATTAAATTATAATTATATTAAAATTTTAAGGATCAAATAATTATTTTTTTTAAATAATTTTTCAATGAAAAAAGGCTTAAACAACTCATATTATTGGCATGGAGGAGCTTTTTAATTGAAAGAAAAAATCTTTCATCATAAAATAATATTTCATAACTATTTTTTAAAAAGACAATAATTTAAACAAGAAGTTAATTGATTCTTTTACAGATTAAATTTGAATTTTTTTTTTTTAAATAGATTGTCATGGGAACCCATGCAAAAGCACTTCTCCTACGGAAAAAGCAAAAAAGTGTCCCAACTTTAATTTGGATAAAGATTCTTAAAGAAAAGGGAGATGCACGCAATTTTAGGTGGAGCCTACATGTATAATATTCGCTCAATTCAATTATTTAAAAAAAGGACGACAAATAAAAATCTTTATAATAAAAAAATAATAATTTAGTCTCACAAAATATAATAATACTTTTTAAATTTTAAAGAATTTAATTATTATTAAAGTTTTTAATAAAATAAAAAAAATTTTAATTTAAAAAACTGAAGAGTAATAGTGAAAAAAGGGTTATGAATATCTAAATCACTTTAATCATTTATTGAATTAAATTTGTGAATTTTAGAATTAAAATTGTAAAAAAAAAACTTTGTTACACTTTGCTTATTAAAAAAAATGGTGAGAGAAAGTTACAAACATCTAAACTACTTTAATCATTTGCTAAATTAAAATTATGAATTCTAAAATTAAGGTTGTAAATGAAAAAGACTTTATTATACTTTATTGATTAAAGAAAATTGATGAAAGAAAGTTATAACTATCTAAATCACTTTAGATATTTGCTAAACTAGAGTTATATATTTCAAAATTAAAGTTATGAATAAAAAAATTTTATTATATTTTTTAAATTAAGAGATATTTTTGTCATTTTATCAAAAATTTTAGTGACAATATAATACTTAAAATGTATTATTATATTTTGTGAGATTAAATTGTTATTTTTTATTTTGAAGGTAGTTATTTGTCATTCTCCCTTGTTTAAATCCATTTTCATTAATGTCCTTGAATCTTCCCCCCTTAAATAATCCAAATTAATCTTTGATAAATTACTCACTTTCTTCTCTTGTTCCCTCTTTCATATTACATGACGATACTTTGAAATTAAAATCATGTACAGTAATTTCAAAATGAAAGTGAAATAAAACAAATGGAGTGAAAAAATATACCTGGTACGTATTTTAATTTTGTTTAATTGTGTTTATATTTTAACAAGAATCTAATTAAAGTAGAAATGCATACCTATTACACATTGCACAAAATACATTACTCTTTTTTGGGCCAAGAAATACATTACTTTATAAAAACTATAATATAATATAATAATGCAATCATAAAATTAACTTTATTATCCAAATCCAATTTAAAAAACCATAAGCAATTATTAAAAAAGATACGAAAATTAGATGTTGATATATTTCGTGATTCCTTCCCTGTCATTTTATTTAATTTTTAGAGCATGTTATAGTAATGAATTTTTAATGAAAATTAGAGATGATATTTTTTATTTAGAAACTGCATAAATATGCCTTCATTCAGGGACAAATTTAAAAATATATCTTAATTATTTAGTAACACACTTTTTGAGACATCACGACATATTCACCTTAAAGTCCGTCTATACATGTCTAGAGACAAATTTTTTATTAATTGGAGATAGATTTTTGGACAACTCTAAACAACATTTTTATTTTTTTTATTAAAACCTGATTAATTAATACCACCCAAAAGCCATTATTTGCAAGCCATGTCAGAATTTTTCTTTCTATACAATTTACTCATAGAAATTATATATATATATATATATATTATACATGCTAGTACTTTTACTTGGCAAATCAATATTCAAATTTCTGTAGAAAAAAGTATTTATATTTAATATACGATCATTCCTTAAACAAGATTTTCTTTAATAAAAAAATATATACTATGAGCAATTAAAGAAAAATAAATTATTTAAGTAGTATAATTATGTATAGATTTCATATTTATATCCTTGTACAATGGGGAAGAGGGTGTCTCCACTTCCCTTTCCTCCATTTCCCTCTTATCACCCTTGGATCAAAACTTTTTAATGATTCAGAATTGATTTTTGATAAAATTATTATTTTAATTTTATACAAAGATATATAAAAAATATGAACTATTAAATTTTATCTAAATATTTATTTATATATCTTTGTATAAAATTAAAATAAAAAATTTATTAAAAATTAAATCTAAATTATTGAAATTGTAATCAAAAAGTGATGAGAGAAAAAAGGAAGAGAAGGGAAGTGGAGACACTCCCTATCCTACACAATGATGGCACGTACAAACAAATCGAGAAATATTATATATAAAATATATGTTATAGACTGTCGGCTTGTAATTTGCACAAAGTCCTTACTATATGATTTATGAATAATATAATTTTCAATATAATTACATTATATATTCTCTATGTTAAAAAATATAAAATATTTTTAATTGAATCTCATCTTCAATAAAATAGTTACTTATTTTTAAATTAACCTTATATTTTTATATTTATTTCTATTTAATAGGATGTTTCATTTTAAAATAAATATAAAGTGATTTATTTAATAGGGGTATTTTAAAAAAAAAGACAATAATTATATTTTGAAAGATTAAAAATATTTTATATTTTTTAATGTCTAATCTTTTAAAAAATATTTTACTTTTTTCAATGAAGGGGGTATTAAAGAAGTCACAGTACATTTTTTTATATATTTAAAAATTATTTATTGATTATTGATTCAAATTGTTGTTATAAATTTATACCTAATAATAATTAAGCACAAGCACGCAATTATTTGATGATGAGCATGCAATCATTCTTATTGATAGTAACATGTGGTATGCTATCATGTGATCAAGATTCTAATATACATGCATGCATACACACTCATATATATATATATATATATATAATGTGTAAAAAACCATTATTGCTAGGGTCTTAAGTTTGAATGATTCTGATGATCTTATTTGGTAGAATCATTTGAAGCTATTAATTATTAATTCCCATAATGAATGTCTTTGTCATCATTATTATAATCATGCTATAACGTTTCTTAAAATAATTAGTCATTGTTTGGCCAAAAAAAAAGTCATTAAGAACCATACTGACTACCCTCTAATTATTAGAGTTTTAGTGGACGCAAAGCAAGGTTGCTCCCGAAGATAATTGGCAAAGTTCGATAGAGTTAGGCCTTTATTTTATTTTTGGCCAAAAAAAGGTCTTTATTTAATTTATGTAATAATGTGACTAAGGTGTGTAAGAATTACATTGTATTTATTAAATCAGCTTATTTTAGAATTTGAGTTCAAGTTACAGGATATATAATCACATTAAATAAATATGTCAAAATTATTTCTAATTAAGGTATCCATGATGCCATTGTTGGTAATAACAATCCCAGATAGTGGTGGTTTAAATTAATTTGAGCAGAAAGTAATAATATCTCCCACATTTCCCAGGATATTTGACGATCGAATAAAAAAATTACTTTATATTTATCAGCTATAATTTGTTAATAAATAATAAACATTTTATTTAACAATATTAGAGTGGCAGACGTTGATCAAATCGTCTAAGATACACTTTGCTAATATACGAGTCGATTGGGATATGATTTCAATCGCAGGACAGTATGGCGAGTACAATTTGAATCTTAATTACTATTGACATCAGAATCTCTCATTGATTAATAATTTATAAGTACTAACTTTAGAGCTGTGATACTTATTTGATCTTAATGAGTTTTAAGAACCTAACTTATCAACTAAATCTTTTTTAGTGTAAAAGAAAGAAGAAAAAGAAACACATGCATGAATTGGGGGGGGGGAATTATTTGGTGGCCAAAATTACATAAAAAATTATGTTAATACTGCTCTAATTTCGGCACCAAAATTTGCATTAATAATTAATATTTAACTTAAATTTTGTGGTGAGTACTTATTGATTTAAATTCTGCTGTCGATAAAAAGATATTGTTTATAAGCAATTTATAAATATTCATTTAAATGCTCTTTAAATATAAAGACATATCTTAACTTTGGTGAGTTCCTGTATTTATCTCACATAAATTTTTTTATACAAAAAAACCAAAGAGATATTGGGACAGGCTGGGACAATAACCAAGAGTAATATATTCAATTATATAGGTTTAGGACAATAATGAAAGTGATATAGGTTTAGTTGGTGATTAAATACTTAATGTAATATCTCAATTCCTTAACTTTAAGATTTAATCACAACCTTTAATTAAGTCCCCACAGATGAGCCTCACAATCAAGTAGAGGCTGTCTCTACTTTGGAGCATGAACAGATTAGAGATCAATTATATTCTTCATTAGCTTGTGAGATTAATTTTGATAATATTTGAATCCTAATAATAAAGAATAATTCTTTTTTTGGACAAAAAAAAAAGAAAAATCCTTTTCTTCCAATTATTTATAACTTCGACAAGCATAAGAGTCACAAAAGGATACGAGTTAAACTCATTGTCAAGCAATTCCTCTCTCACGCCTTTTTTCTTCTTTTGGAATAAATCACAAATACTTGCAGTGATATTCAAGTAATTCCATTAACTTTATTCCCAGAAACTTATCTATATATAACATCACATATATTCATTTCAATTCCACTTCAAAACCCAATTATATAGTAGAATTATGCCTTCATCAGAAGCATCAAATCCCAGCATAGAAAATGAGAGGCATAAGCAACTCGACCGAGATATTAGAGAGATGGTCACATCCATCACTAATCGTGTCGATAATTTTCACAAATTAGGTCACTATAAAGACGATGAAGATGATGACGATGGTGTTAGGATTATCACCCTCGCCGGAACCAATGATGGCGCCACCTTGAAAAGCGAAGTGGACAACAAGCCAGCCGACCATCACTCCGGCGAGAAGCCTGAAGAGGAGGCATTGAGCACTCACGTGAACAGCAATTTTCAGGCTCTCAACAACTCAATCGTGTTTAGTGGGAGCTACCAAGCTAATGATCCCGGCGTGAGCATCGAGATCTCAGATTTCACTGAGCCGACCAGCCACCATAAGGACGGAAAGCATGAGAAGAAGAGCAAGAAGAAAGAAAAAGAAGAGTCTAAAAGTGACCATGGCGATCATCATCATCATCATCATCATTCTGGACATTCTGGTTAAGATAAGGCTATAGCTCATCACCTAAGCCATAATGGAGTGTCAAAGCATTAATAATTATTATTATATTTCTTCGTTTCATTAAATTTTTGAACAAGTTATTACTTTCAAATCAGTAAGATGGTTTCTGAGTTGTTGTTTATGCATACATTATTTTAATAGGAAATAGGAGATAGAGGTTTTCATTGATCTTAAGAGTGATTGTGAATGATTAATTATCATTCCAAGAATAATATGTAGACCGTAAATAATTAATATCTTTGTTATACTTGTTATGATGTGTTCCTATTCAATACCATTAGTGTGGCGCGCTTTCCTTTTTTTTTTTTTTGGGGGAATTGCGAGCTTTCCCATTTTGCTTTATTTGTATATCCGTTTAAGATTGTATATTCTCACAAATAATCTTTAGGTAGCATTTGGATTAGTAGATTTTAATTTTATATTTAAAATTTCACATTTTAAATTTCATATTTAAAATTATTTGTTTAGATAATTTGAGAAATTTATTTCAAATGGAGAAGATAAATAAATTGAGATTTGAAGTGAAATCAAAATTTAAAGTCATGAGCTTACCTCTTTATTTTTCAATTAATGAGAGATAATAACCAACCATGAGTGAAGATGCAAGCTAGAGTGATAGATGCAAAAAATTGTAAAAAGGTGAAGAGAATGAGAGATTTGAGATAATTAAAATTTTAAATGAATAGGATGTAGAAAAAATTTAAAATTACTAAAAAAATTAAAATAAGAAATAGATTATATAGATTTTTTGTACATCCACCAAATGAGAGATTTGGTTTTATTTGATAATAAAATTTTAAGAATGTGTGAGAGCATCTATAATGATACCCAAATAGATGTAATTAATTAATGCTATGTATTTTTGGCAAAACTTATGGAGAAACTATTAATTAATGTGAAATACTCCCTCTGTATTTATTTATAAGAAAAATTATCATTTTTAGCTTGTTTTTTATATAAGAAAAATAAAAATTTTTAATAAGCATTTATTATAAACTTTTTAAATTACTCCTCATAATTTCATCATTCGCAGTTATAAGAAACAATTAATGAAGGGTGTTTTAATCTAATTCTTTTATTTTCAAATACAATTAATATAATTAATTAATTTTTTTAAATCGTGTGATATATTTTTTGTATAAATAAAAATGGAGGGAGTATATAATAAAATTATAATTTGGGGTGTTTTAAGCACCATATAGTAAACGGGTTGCTCATAATTTACGAGGTAATTAATTCGATGAGTTTCATCACAAGTCAAATGACTTTAACTTCTGTTGGGATGCGAGATGCACAGAAGTTATGTAATGTTTGATAGGCATTAGAAAAAGTTCTTTCTAAAAATAAAATGACAAATACACTTATTCCATTTTTTTTCAGGAAAATATTTTCTGTATACCAAACATGTTATTAATGTTTAAAATCCCTTAATCTTTTTTAGAAGGATTGCCCCATTAACCATCCACTTGCAAGGGCCATTAAAATTTTGGTGATACATGATTTGATCATCACTTTTGACTCCATCTTCAGAGAAACACGATTAAAAGTGTTGATTAGTTAGCTCATTACATTCATTATTTCCTTATTTAAATATTACTTACGGAATTTATATATTTCTCTCCATCTTTAAGGTGCAGATACTTGATATTGATATACATACATACATATATATATATTTTGATTGTATTCCATGTGCACATTTTGTTTGTTGTGACCTTGTATTAGAAAAAATCACATGCTGCTAGTGTTAATGCATTTTTACACACAAATGAGGGAGCTGGGAGAATATTCCCATGTTAATATTGTATTATGACGAGTATGCAACTTTTGACTTTATAAAACCACTTTTGACTTTATACCTAAATCATGGTTTGTGATTAGATTAGATATTTCAGCATTTCTAGCCATTTGCTGTCTCTTCCGCACTAGGACCACTAGCATTACATCATTCAATTTCTTTCCAGCTGCAAAGTCTCAAACATGTCTTTCATTTGTATCTTGGGAATTTACTAAAGTCTTTTTTTCAGAAATCCATTTGTTTTGACATGTCTATTTTTGTGATTAGATATGAACAACCTTAGATGAATTTCTTTATTTAAAATATTAGTTGTAAACTTTTTTGATATAGCTCTCGTTTTTGTTGTTGTTGTAATATCTAGTATTATTAGAAATATTCAAGAAATACTAAACTCAATTATGGTTCACTCTTTCAAAGTCATGTTATATATTTACATAAGCTCGATATAATATTTGTAAAATTAATATAATTAAAAAATTATTTTATATACTATTCATTTAAAACATTAACAATTGAAATTCATTCAGTTTAAAAAATTTATAATTTTTTACTCATTTTTAAAGCAAATAGTAGAAAATTTCAAAAGTACTCATCAAACTCAATGCTCTGATTTTAATATTCTACAGATGAGGCCCAATAGAAGCCCAAACTTAACTCTTCTTTGCCCCAATTTGTGCCACCATCAATTATCACTAGTAGGGCCATTATTTAAAATTCTACTTCCTTGACCATAATATAAGGAATGTTGCACTAAAAATTTTGCTTAGTCTAAAATATAGAATATTTAATAATTTTTTAATTATATTCCTAATTTATTTATTATTTTTTTAAAAAATAATACATTAAAATTTTAATTATCAATATCAAAGTATTTATAGAGGTATTTAATAAGAGTAAAATTGAAAAGATGTAAATTTTTTTACGAAATTAAAGTTTTAACTACCATTTTTTGAAAACAGTGAATTAGTTACAAATGCATTACATTTTGATCCAGAGGGAGTAAATAAGTAAGGGTATTTATAATTTTAGAAAAATTAATCCATGTGTCCTCATAGTTTATCTCAATTTTAAGTTAGGTCCATGTAATTTATTTTATTTTGATCAAGCTCTTTTATTTTAATCTATTAATTTTTTTAATTCCTAAATATTAAATTTCTTGATTTTTTAAATTAAATCAAGAACTTTTACATTTCTTTTTGTTGGTAAATATAAAGAGTAGGTTTCACTAATAATAAAAAATATATTCCCTGATATACTAAAAGCAATAGGTAAACCTTTGAGTCTCTACCACTCAATCCACTTTAGCCAGTGAAACTTTTACATTTCTGTTAAAAATTATACAACTTTAGAATTTATATATAATTCTTATAACTCAAAATTTACATAATTAGCTTATATTTTATATATTTTTATACAAATAAATTATAAAAATAAATAAAAAATTAAAAAATTATTTTAAATTAAATTTTCTTTTTTACCAAAAATATTAAATCAAATTTTATATAAACTTTAAAAGTATTTTTTTGTTTTTTAAATATTATTTATTCATTAATAATTTTATCCTTCAAGGATTTGTTATATTGGTATATATTAAAATATTAGTTAATATCTAAATAAATGTATAAAGAAAATGTGTCACCAATATTGATATCAATCTAATATATAATTAATATTTTTAAAAGATGTGTGTGTGTGTGTGTGTGTGTGTGTCACATACAGTAATTGAACCGAGTAAGAATATATATAATTAATCTTGTTTACGTACAAAAATAATTCATGAACAAGTATAAAGGAAGACGCAGCAGACATATCAAATGGTGTTGTTATTATATTGATTCTTCATTTGAACATTAATTAAATGTGGAGACTTCAAACTTCGAATAAAATAATGGAAATTAAGGACAACGTGGATCACAGGACACAGAGATTTGTTGTTGTTGAATTGGTTGGTCTTGTTCCTTGGTTTCTTCAGCTTCTTGGACGATCATCAGTTTCGTCAACTGCATCTCCTTTTTCTTCCCCCACAGAAGAATGTATAATCCCAGCATCACCAGTATGGATCCTAAAACGCTGCGTTTAACAAGCACTATTAATGATCATACCCAGGAAGTAATATTCTCCATTATTCAATAATATCAAATCCAGTAAGTATGATTTTCTTCTGAAATTGTTCAATTTTAGTGTGTACTGTTATTTCTGGTGGTGGTTGTTTTGTTGCTGTTTAGACTGTTTTGTTGCCTTTTCTGGTTCAGGTTTTATTGTTAGTTTGATTGCATAGGTATTGGAATTTTTTTTACTTCGACCATTAGTGTGTGTATTATGTTTTTTATTGATTAATAAAATTGACTTGTGTTTTAGTAAAAAAAAAAAATTAAATCCAATTGACTAGTTCAACACCAATTTCACTGTGTAATCCTTTTTCTTTTGGAAAGAAATTTTCAATTTTATTAAAAAATTATTGTTATTTTAGAATTCCAATACTTAAGTTAATTTTTTTTAACTATATCCTCATTCAGTTACCTCCATTCATGTTTCATTCTCTCCCTATAAACTATTGCCATGGTATTTTAGTTCCTAATTAGGTTTATGATTATAAGATTTTTTAAATGAAAATCATATATTTCAATTTACAATGCATTTAACAAAATCTTAGAAGTACTTAATACTTTTTTCTACTTAAAATGTCCCCAAGGATACAAATAATTAAAGGATAATAAAACTTTGTTCCTTTATACCACCTAGTGGGATAAAAGTTTGCTATTGCTGCTGTTGTTGTATCAATTCAGTTTTTGAAATTTGATTTTTATCAATTAAGATTCTAAAATCTTATAAATACATACTTACATACATAAATACATATATATAATTAGTCCTTATAGTGTTATTTTCCTTTCAAATCATAAGAACTAATTGTATATGATTATATAACTTTAGAGATTTGATTGATAAAGATTAATTTTCATGGTCAAAATTGATAATTTGAGGCAAACTTAAGAGTTCAAAAGTTTCATTATCTTAATGATAAAACTTAAGATTAAGATGCTCAACAGTATTTTTTTTTTAAAGTAAACTTGGAAAGTACTTGAGATAGAAACCAACAAATGATTTTCTTTACTGGGTATGAGTTTGTTAAAAATATCTTATAATAATATTACTTCACCATCTCTAAATTTATGTGCAAAACCTTAAAGAATAAAAGAATTAAAACATACTTACAGAGGGGTATTTCTGTCCTAGAGTGTCTTGAGCTTGGAGAATTCTAATATATATATACATATATGTATGTATGTATGTATGTATGTATGTATGTATGTATGTATCATGATAAGACACAAGTTAATATATACCTTCCAAGATGGAGCTGTTCATGCAAGAGAGGGACATCGATCATGGCTGCCATAATCTGCACAAGAGGGCTGAAAGCTGCAGTGAAGACTGGACCTCTTTTCTTCACACACCATGACATTCCCACGAAGCACAATCCTGATCCTACCATTCCCTGCATGTATTTTCAGACTTAGTCTCAGGGATTGGACTTCCCACGAGGACTTAAATGAAATCATATTATTTCTTAGGGGCCATCTTTCAAATTGGTCCTTCTGCATTTGATAGTAAACAGAGCTTATGAACCAATGAGATGAGATTCATGAAAAAGAGAAGAATACGTGGCACAGATATCTCACTTCACAAAACACTTGGACCCAACGAAATCTTATTCATGTTACTGGATTCCTGTCTCTTCATTTCCCAAGATCCTTGTGAGATGCTTTTCTTTCTTTTCTTTCCCTTTCCCTTTCCCTTTCCCTTTTTCTTTTTCCCTTGCCAGATTCTCAAACTCAGAAAAACAGCAGCCTGCAGCCTTAAAAAATGCCATCCCTATTCTTAAGTCTCCTTCTTGTGATTTATAATTTTTTAAAATTTCTTAAATTTCAGTATTTTTATTTTGTAATCCAAGCCATTTTTTTAGAAGTTGATATTCCTGTAGAATGTGTACTAGATCCATGTTCCGCATTTCTCAACCACATAAAATTTTTTGAGTTATTCACATTCATGCATTCAGAAACAAAATGGCAGTCATGAATTCAAATGATTTATATTGATTTTTACTATGGAACTTCAAGATATAGGACAGATATGTACTTACAGAAAACAGAACAGTGATGATTTGCATCTTTCCCTTAAGAACCCACAGGGAAAAGTTCCTTCCAGTGGCTAAGCTAAGAACAGCAGATTGAATGGCTCCAAAGAAGGTCATGATGGCTGTGCTAGAATACTGGCAAGGGTACCTTTTGCCTACTTTTGATTGCACAACAAACCATGAAGACCAGAACAATGTTCCCAGAATCAAAGCTATTACACCGAGAGTCCATCTCTCACTATTCACATGATGATGAGAAGCAGCCAACTTTACTGCAGAAGTTTTTGATATTGGTGCTGATGCAGAAGAATCATAGTGAGAATCATCAGAGCCGAACAATGGCTTCCCTTTGTACAGTGTCAATATCAATCCTCCTCCGATGCACACCACTGTTCCTAGTATCTTTGCTCTCCCACTGTTGCATTTTATGTTCACACTCTCTAGCCTGTCGAATATATATATATATATATATATAATCAGCACCATAGCACAAGGCCAGGTTATTATTCTGCATTATTTGGGTGGTAGTTACTTGTCAAGCATTGATACTTTGGAAAATGGAGTATTGTATGTTTGACGTGACATGATGGCATTGCATAATTACTTGTGTTGTAATTATTATAATTTGAATATTTATTTTTAAGAAATTGACAGCCAAATTCATCTGAACAATGGACTCTTCAATGAGTGTGGGTGCTACACTAAATTTGATATTCTACATTCATGCATTCTGAGACTTATATCTTATCTTCTTACCCATTACCTCTTTTCTCTCTCTATCTATCTTTGAATGCACTGTGTGCGTTTACTCTGTAAATCTAAAATAATCTGAATTGGTTCTACACGTGCTGTACCTTTTCCTTTGAAACAAATACTATAGATTTCTTAAAAAATTTTGAGGATCCACACCTATGTGTGTACATACATACATACATACATACCCAAATGGTAATGCCATGAGGAATGTGATCACGGGCACCATGTTGACAAAGGCACAAGCAAAGGTAGCAGAAGTGTATTGAATTCCCAGAAGGAAAAAATACTGTGTCACTGATGCCCTACAATGATACATTCATATATAATTCCAAAGTAAACAAGAAGAAGATAGAGATAAAGAGAAATCAAATGACAAAGCAAAACTTGGGTTTCTAAATAACTGACCCAACAATGGCACTGAGAAAGAGGTAACATAAAATTCTAAATGTGAGCTTTGGTCTTATATTTCTGCAACAGCGAACAAAAATGGTTAAAGTTATAAGATCTTTCATATGATCATTCATCTTGAAGGGAAAGTTCTACGCATATAATTCATCTTGAGCTATATCTGCATAGTGATAGTGTGTGTGTATCAAAGTTCTAAAAATAGAAAGAAAAGCTACCAACTCTAGGAATCGAAAGGTCCTAGATATATACCTTTCCCAAAAGTAGCCGATTGGCGCTAGAAAAATACTAGAAGTAGTCAACCTGTAAGTAATGAAAACCAAATGGTTCATTCCCTCTTGAAGGGATTTCTTGAGCAGAATATTCACTACCGCAAACGCAAAATCGATAGCTATCATTGCTAGAAAAGGCTTCCATTCATCACAGCTACTCATCATTTCAGCAAAGGATGAAGAAATTTAGTCCAGAAGAACTCTTCGAAGAGGAAGAAGATCAGTGAATAGCTTCAAAGCCCCTCCTTGTTTTGCAGAAGAAAGAACAGAAAAAGCTCTTATGTTTGAAATAGACCGCAGAGCTATAGGCTTAGGTATATATAAATAATATTCTAGAATAAGTGGCAAGAAAGCAAGATTAAATTCTGCAAATCACATCAAACGCTTTAAGCAACCAGCTCTGACATTAGTTTAATGGTTATGCTCTTTTCTTTTGCTTTTCTTTGACTGATATATCCTGTTCAACAGAAGCAGACTGTTCCAGAATAGTTTTTCCCGTAAATGTATGTGTGTGTGTTGATGAAGTTGAATCAAGTAATTCTAGGCCTGATATTTCAGGCCACGAGTTCTATATTAAGAAGTCATATAGCTAGGGCACGAATATGGTTATGTTCTTCATGTTTTGTTCCTGATTAATTATTCCCATGGAGGGAAAATAAGATTTTTTGTGATGGTTGAGAGGCATCTTTTGAGTGGAATTTAGAGAAGAAATGGTGCTTCTCTTCCTGTAGTGTGCACGGAATCTAATACTTCATCTTTTAAAGCAGAGTGAGAGATAGCTAGCTGCAACCTCACATATCTGATCTGAGACCTAAAAAGCCAGAACAAAGTGTCAAATCCAGCTAAGTGCAATTTGATGATGATAAAGTTCGAAAAACATGGACTAGAGAGAAATTAGCGAGAGAATTTAGTGATGCAAAGCATTAAAAAGATGTTATTCTTTTCATGTCATGGGGTTAGGCAATAAGCCCTGGAATTTTGGAGTCCTAAAACTGGAGCCCCTAAGAAATATTGACGGCAAGGTGAATTTAATTTGGTTTCTTTTAACGTGGGTTTGCTTCTTGCTTTTTACCTTTGCCTCTGCTGTGAAATTCGTTGATGTCTATTACAGTACAACGTCTCAGTTTTGACTATTGATTTTTAGTTCATCTAGAGAAAATTATAAATGTCAATAAAAGTTTAACATACATAGTCATATATCTTACCAAAAAAGAAAAAGAGAGCATATATAGTCATATTTTTTCATAACTATTGCCGAAATCATTGTCAACATTACTTATAAGAATGGTTAGGTAAACCATGGTCAAATCCTAACAACAGATATAACAACCGACTATTAGTAAGTATGTTATTTAACAATAGTTTAATAATCGTCGTAGAACCTGTACAAATTAATGATAGTCATAACAATCATAGTTAATTATATTCATGCCTTTTTTTTTGTTTTGTTTTTGTCAACCATCATTGATAATCGATATAATTATTGTGGTTACAAGTTCTTAATTATGACAATTATTTTTAATCATCAGTACTAAGACATGTTTCAAAACAATGATTTGCATAACCATAATTAAGACAAACCTTAGACATATTTTTTAAGGTGTCATTATTTGGAATTCGAACTACTATGTTAGATTCTAACATTGTTCGCTTAATTAAGACTACTTCTCCCGATATGAATTTTTTTAATCAACACTTGAGTTTTAAATTGTTCTTTTCAAAGAGTTCAATTATTTGCTAAGTTTAACCTAGTTATACACCATTGAACCTTGGTGGGTCGTTGTTTCACTCCAATATTAATGTCGAACCGAAATGATTTGAATATAAAAAGTTGGCCAGAGATTATGAAGCCATGGCATGGCCTACAAGTCCTTGCGGACAGCAAAGATGCTATAGAGAAGATATCTTGAATGAGAATTAAAGGCACAAATTCTGCAACTTTTTGCAATTTATACACAAGATTGATATATTAACTGTCTATGTCCTTGGCTTTTTGGCACAGATTCCCAACTTCCCAGCTTTTTCCTCCTCTCTTCAACTATACTTGCACTCCAATTCATTCACTTATCAACACATCAATTAATTCCATTATTCTTCTTGAACGACATTCATAAACCAGGACCGTTCATTCTCTACATGTCTAATAATATGAATATCAAAGCATTATTGCAACGTTGCTAGCTTTCCTTCCATCCAAAGCAACTGATTCTCATCATCCAATAAAATAGCAATCTTCATCTTCTGCATAGTCGAAAAACGAAATGTAACACAATATATTTGAAGAGATGTTGAAGAAAAAAGACATCTATGATTGGCTTGAAATAAATCTCATATACTGCCATGCCCTATAATTTTTCATGTAGAACCATTACATATATAGAGAATACAAATCTAACTTTTTACCCCAAAAAAATCATCGATCTCTCTTCTAAAAGACTGTACCATCTTTTCTGATCTTATCCGAAATATAGACCATTAGCTTTTGTTGGGGCTTGAGAGATCATCAATATATATATATATATATATATATATTCACTAGTTCGGAACTTTGGAACGAAATATGTAAGTGGGTATGATATATTTTGACCCATAATTTTAGGGCATTGAGTTCATAGGTTTTCTTTCATATATGATTGGGTAGAATGGTAGAAATAAATCTCATATAATGCCGCATGCTCTTTAATTTTGAATGTATACTATATACAGAGAATTCAAATCTGCCTTATAAAAAAATCATCGATTTCTTCTAAAAGATTGTACCAACTTTTCCTTTTTGAAATATAGACCATTAGCTTTGTTGGGACTTGAGAGAGTATCAAATATCAAATAAATTCTCTCAATCCTTCTAGTTCATTGAACTTTGGATGGAAATATATAAGTGGACTAAAACGCTACATTTTGACCCAAAATTTTATAGCATTATTATTGAGTTTATGATTTTCTTCCATATATTTATTCTTTTAATCTAACTTTAATTAATATGGCATTTCTTCTCACATTAACTTCCCATCACCTCCTCTTAGGTGTGGTCCGCCAAATATCACACAAACATATATATATGTTTTCCCCCTTTTCCTTTCTCATGAAGATAACCTCACAAGAGCACATTTCTGCTTGGTCTTTCATTCACATACCAAAAGTACAACTCTTTCCATTTACTTATAAATTTTTCTTTCCTCCAACTCCAAATGAGCATGCGTGTGGAGTCCAACTCTCATCCACTCCTCCAAGTGAGTACACTTAGCTTGTGACTTGTGAGTTTCACCTTTGTGTATTCATTGTCTTCATATTCATGTGTCTTTGTAAGTGCTGAAAGTTGACTTTGATATCATTTGTTTGATATTAAAAGAAGTGTTTTATGGATTTGGATTCGGTGATTATACTTAATATAAGCATTGAATGCCTGTATCATCTTAACTATTAAAATCTAAATCAATGATTTAGATAAATTTACCCATTTCTTAATCTTAAGTGGTATATAAATTAATAATCATTAATTTAAATTTTAATGGTTTAGATGATACAGGTACTCAATGCCTGTATTAAGTATAATCACCGAATTCAAATTTACGTTACATAATTAATAAAAGTTGAGTCTAGCCAAAAAAGCTAGTACAGTTTTTCACAACTTGACAAACCATGGTGTGAATAATGCCCATTGAGAGAAGTACAAACTCATATTTAATTTCTAATCATATTTCGAACAAAATTACCTCTAACAAAACTCATGTAAATAATAAATATATAAATATATATATATATATATATATGTTCAATGTTCTCTTAGGCCAGAGTAAGTTTTGTGTGAGAGAAGTTGATTTAATAGCTAACGCACACGCACACATAGATGTATCGCACAATAGCTAGATCAACCGCAACACTTGAACATCATATTTGCTGGGTAGAACCTGGATTTGCACATTGGGCTGTGGAATTTTGTAGACGAAGGAAGGACACAGCATGATTTCTAGCAGAAGACGATCAGTACATTATTAATTAGTTAATTCCGTTATTGTTTATGATTTTTCAAGAGTTTCTCTAGAAAAAACAACCACCATATTCGTTCTCTACAACACCACATCAGAATCAAAAAGTTGCTTTCTTTTTTCCTTCCAAAGCAATCACGTTTGGGTGCAATTTGGATCCTGATCATGATCCAATAAAATAAATAAATAAAATATTATTTCTCAAAAATTCATTCATAAAAGTCTCCCTCATTGTAACCATGGATTGTGCTTCTCAAAGAATATGTCTTTTGATGGACACTACATATCCTAGAAATACCCTCCAAGGACACTACTTTTATTAATTGGCCTTTAACTTCCATTGGATTTCCTCAAAGACATTGTCACATCGCACCTGAAGCCAAAAAGCCAAAGCAAGTTTCATTTGGAAAATAATCCAATTGGTGGACCTGTGGGGACCAATTACGTGAATTCGTGGACAAGAAATTTGTCTAAATCAAGGATGTTCTGCTTTGGAATAATAATAGTAAAATAAGGCATCTTCCACAGACATTTTGGTATTTTTGGTTCTGCAATCATGTTCCTCCCCCTCAACTTTAGTTTATGTATTTCAACTGGGACCTATTGTTCTTCAATTAATATAGAATATTAATTGTTTACAATAATTACAATTGTTGAATTTTGAGCCCCAGCACTCTATATTTTATATTGCCACAAGTTTTCCCGAATCTAGAACCTTAATTGCACTATTCATGGAACTGTAGCAGATTTTTTTTTTAATAATTTTACTTTGAGCTTGAAGGAGTAATCAAGGTCAAATGTATGTTTTTTTTTTGTTATTTTGAAAAAAATTATTAGATTCTCACAAGAAACGAATTGTTAGTTTATTTTGTAAAATAAATTTTATAAAAGTACACTTTAGGTACTCATGGTTGATGAATTTGAAGCTTATAATATTATTTAGAAAAAATGACAGTTAGATCTCTCAACACTGAATTAATATAAGTTAAGTTGCTGACAATTTTTTTTTTAAAAAATAAGTTGAGAATATTAATTCAAATTATTACAAATTTAAAAGTTTCAATTACAAATAAGTATTTAAATATTAAATGTAACTTTTAGATTATAGTAGAAATTTTTGTTTGTAATTGTTTGAATTGATATTTATAATTTATTTTGCAGAAAATTTTGTCAAGAACCTAACTGTCATTAAATCATTCTTCCAAGACCTAACTGTCATTTTTCTATTATTTATTTATCCTCATTTATTTGAATTTGAGGTTTTTATGTCAATAAAATTTTATGAAATTAAACTTTAGGTATTCATCCTCATTGCCGTATTTTATCATTAAGAATTATTGAAGTGAGCAGAATATAATGTTTAATATATTTTCTTTGTTGAGAGAGTATCGATGATGAACAATTCAATAATGAACCATTCCATAGTGATATTCCTTGTCACTCAAAAAGAAAAAAACTACAATTATTTGGTAGCTCATCATTCTGAACTTTTTTATAAGGTGCATATATAAAGTGTAGTGACCGTTCATAATCAATAAAAAATTACTAGAATAATTCACCGAAACAAATTACTAGAGTAAGTGCATATCACAATTGTACCCACTACTAATTAATTATTTGGTATCTCTTTTTGAAACTTTTTGGGGCACACAGGAATAAGCTTGGAATAAGCTTTACAGAGCACATAAATATATTCCTCGCTCTCATGAAAGATTTATGACTTGCATATACATTAAAATTATTAAAATAAAAGAAGGGTTACGTTTGCACAAAGGTCATAATTAACTCAGAAACATAGCGCACTCATAATATTCCACACTTGGATTCGGTGAGTAAGATAAAACTACTTATTTAATGAGTGTTTCAATTATAATAATTGAATTTTATCAACATTTAAAGCTTATCAAAATATATTTTTCTTTAAAAATTTAAAATAATTGTCAGAACACTTCTAATTTATGTTGTCCCCTTCAAAAATTTGGTAAAATTTTAGTCATTTGATTAAATCAAGTGGTTATTATACCACGTATAATATTTATTAAGTGAGTGGACTCATGGTACTTATTAGATCCAAATCTCAATATTCCTATTCTATAAACCAAATCTGAATTTGAGTACACAAACCATATCTTCTATCACGATGATCTGACTTTAAAAGAATGATGAATACTTCAAGATGAAAAATAATCAATATACATACATATAGCTTCCTTTGACTTATCAAATTAAAACAATCAACCTAGCTGAGACGACACAAAAAGCAAAGGATCCCACGTACCATTATTACTCGAACTAAACCAGCCACCACCATTATTGTCACACTGCACAAGAACTTGCTGCTGCTGATGTTGCTGATGATCTGGTGTCCAGAACCCTTGGGGTAGTCCTCCAATTTGAGCATTACTTGTATTGCTATTTGAAGCTCTGTGATTATGATCAGAATAATACAACATAGTTTGGTTGTTATTACAATCAGAGTATCCTAAGACTCTATCTGATGAATCATGTTCGACGTTAATAAAGTTCTTGTCTACTAATACATCCACATAATCTGAATACATCATATTCATCACAGACTGATCAATAACGCCAGATAATGGCCATGGAGAATTATTTGAAGGGGTAAACAAGCTACTATTATTTTCAGCAACATGGTTCACCTGTGTAGGACATGTAGGCCAAGGCAATTCATAATTAGCTATCTCATTGTTATTGGACCATGGACTATTTCTTGCTACAGAACCCCCATGATCTAGATCTGAGATAAGCTTGTTACAGTTATCATTATTAGTGTGATTGCTCTTAGCATTACTTGCGCTTGTGCTTGATGAAGACGTGCTTGTAAACCCAGGATTATTATTAGGGTTTACAGATCCTGTATTCAAGATCAGATTATTGTTAGATAATTGAGAAGGAAGCCTCACTACTCCTCCTTTGTCATCAAATAGCTTGGCCTTGAGGGCTCCGATAAGGTCGTGATGATCCGCCCCGGTGTCCTCGAAAGAGAAGGGCTCGAGGTTCTCCGGCATGCAGCTTAAACTGCCACCGTGTTGGGTGGCGCCGGCGGTGGCAGGATTTGGCAAGTCGAAGTTGGTGCGAGCATTGGGGCCACGCAAAGCACGAGCGGCTGTGTCATAGGCGCGAGCTGCGTCCTCGGCTGTGTCGAATGTTCCGAGCCAAAGCCTGACCTTCTGAAGAGAGTCTTTGATCTCAGCCACCCACCGGCCGGACGGCCTTTGACGGACTCCGACAAACCGGTTGTGGCCTCGGGATGATGATTTTCTTCTGCCCTTGAGGATCTTATTAACTTCGGTTGGTGCTGCCATGGTTGTTTCGTTTACTTTTTTTGTTGATCGATATATCAAGATTAGGTTGGTGTGTGTATGTATGTGCGTGTGTGTGTATATATAAGCACAATTATTGAACATTTTTGAGCTGGTAATGAGAAGGTTTACGATACGATGTTTGTTTAATGAAGCGTAGTTGGTCTCCCAACTGTACGAAATGGACAAGAAAATAACATGTCAAAGGTTAGAGATTGCTGTGTTTTCATATCTAGATATTTCATCCTTCTTTTAACTTGTCTCGTCATTTATTAAATATCGTTGGATTTCATTTTAAACAAAAAAGTTCAAGCCCAGGATGTGAGACAAATTTTAATGCAAAATTTCTCCATCAATTATTAAAATTATCCGTCACAAGATGGAAAAAAATCGCGTTGAAAAAGTTACCTTCATTTAGGTCACAATTTTTGGATCTGGATCGATATTATTAGTTACAAAATAATTTGTTAAAAAAGTCAATTGATGTTAATTGAAATCTTTCTCAAATATATACTATATTATATACTCCATCCGTGTTAAATTATAAAACACTTTTAGGATAACATCTCAAACTATAAGATATTTTGATAAAAATAAAGTTTTATTAATAATATTTTTCTAATGTTATTCTTGTTATATATTCTCTTTTTTCAATATTTTTTTATCAATAGAGTATTAAATGAAATATATTTTTAAAAATTTATTTTTTTTGTCTTGAAAAAATAAGGTTGTAAAGTATATTTAATGAACTTTATTGGTATGTAAGATTTTATATAAAAATATCTTATAATTTAGGATGGAGGAAGTACATAAAAACTGCACCTGAGACATGAAACATAAATACCTGTATGTACCTTTTTATATCCATTTTAATTCAAACTTTGAACAAAACAATATCGCTTTTTTGGATAGAGAAATTACATAGGGTAAAACTGTCCATATAAAACTTAACAATGTGATTGGGAAAAATTAGCACATATAATTAATGGTTGAGTGATAAGTTGTTAGTTTAAAGCATTCGCGCGAATTTAGACTAAAATAAAAGAAAATGAAAATATTATAAATGAGAAGATATGATTAAAAGAAATTTTATATTATAACAAAATAAAAATAGTATAAATAAATTTTTTTATTAAACCTAACCTAAATTTCTTACTTGATGTATACTCTATAAAATTGGAACGTCGCTATTGCAGGCCGTGTCGATGATATCGACGTGAAGTTAAGGTGTAGTTACAAAGGACATTGGTATAACATTAATTATGTAAATATTGATAATTGCCTCCTACTCATGAAATAACGACAATCGTAATGATCATAGGACTTTGTCTTGTTTTTGTTGTATAGATTCGATTAAAATATTAATACTTGCCCCATTGATTTGAGAAAAATTTAAATTATCTGCCATCAAGAAGACAACTAAGAATACATACATACATATAAAAAAAAAAATGAAACTTGATTAACCCTAAGAGTAATCCTTAGCTCCAAATGTGACATACCTAATTAAGTATGGGAATACAACTAAGATGATATATTTATGAACAAAAGAATTAATTAAAGTTTGAATTTAATCTTTGCTTTTGGATATTTGTTCTATATACTCCCTCCTTTTAATATTATAAATTTTTTTAATCGAATTACACTTCAAATAAGTTAGTTAATTATTTTTGAAATTACATACTCTTTATATCTTTATTCTTATTTAATAAGGGATCCCAATTATAAAATCTTATTAATTACACATTCTAATTAAGGAAATTTTTTAAAAAAATTATTAATTGTACTTTAGAAAAAAATTCAGAATGTCTTATATTTTTTAATATAATACTTTTAAATAGCATGCTTGCTTTCATACTAATTTTATTGTTTGGGCCTAAAATGGAATGTCAATTTAGAAGAGAGAGACATAAGAAATGTTAGGACCAATAATTAGTTAAAAACGCCCAACCAACTTCCAAATAAGGTTCCGTGTTGAGCATGGCGTAACCCTTAAGACTTAGAGTGATTGAGCGTGGAACATCATTAAAGGGACGTGTGATCGTTATCTAATGAGCTCCAAACCTTGCTGGACCATGCTTAATGATAGCGGATATTTTGCATACGGGCTCTTGATTCTTTGAGTACAATAGTCTCAAGTGTACACATATAAGAAGGGATCAAATTGACAAAATTAGAGAATGCAATCCATACACATAAAGCAGACTCATTGCTTAGTTTTCAATTCAACTTTACTTTGTATTGTACACTTAGAATTAGACTTTGTTATTTAAATTTCGTTCTTGTAATCATTGCAACTTTATCCTTCGATTCTAGCCATCAAATCACTTTTACATCATTATTTTTGTATCTTCGCACCTTATAACTTGAGATAAGAGAATTCGAGAACCTTCTTATCATTTGAGACTCTATGTCTTTGGCACATTTAGTAATCGTATTGTTCAAACATAACGAACAATTTGTGATTAATACATACTAAAAAAATTTTTCTTCAAAAAATTAAAAAAATTTACCTATATTTGGATGGAAAAAAATTAAAAGTAAGGGAAAAGAAAATCAAAAGAGAAACACATGATGCAAAATAGATCCCTATCTGAATAGCTAAGATAAAATGAGAAGGATATAAAAGTGGAGGAGAAAAAAGAGACATGGAATTCAAATGGTTTTCTTCTTAAAGTTTTGGGAAAATACATTTTTCAAAGATGCCTCAAAGGCTCCAATGCTCTAGACACATTTTTTTTCACACAAGTTTATTGTTATATTTGAAATTAGACTCGTGCAAATTTAACTTTGGGATTTTTTACTTCGGTTGTAAAACAAATGTAAACAATTAAGATGGGGATATTTTTAATCATCAATATGTCTCATAGATTTTCTACATCAATTATTCGAGCAACTGGTGAAGAAGATCACTTTTTACACTGGTTATTTGAGCAACCTATGTCGCTATAATTGATATAAAAAGTGAAGAGAATATATTTTTTTAACATATTTTTGCACATTTCTCAATTTTACAATCAAACCAATATAGACTATCAATTACTAAATCGGATGTAAAATTAGTGTAGAAATCGTTGTAACTACACCAGTTTTCTAGCCGTTATAAGAAAAGGAAAAACTAAGGATTTGGTCTTTGCATTTTTGATCCACTTATAATTCAATTCTTAAATTTAATCTGTTATAACTTAATCTTTATAGTTTTAACTCGGTTGCATCTCAATCCTTAAAATTTGTCCCTTATAATTTAGTCCCTATAATTTCAAACACTTAAATATTAGTTCTTATATTTTATAATAAATATTAAAAATATTTTGAATCTTTAATATATATAATATTTAAAGATTAAAAGCTTAAAATTATAATATTTATAATATTAGTAATAAAATTATAAAGATTAAAATTATGTTAAAACTTATTACCAATTTTTTAAATTATTAAACCCTTTTAATATTTATAAATATTATTAATATTAAATGTTTAAAATATTTTTAATCTTTATAATTTTATTTTTTTAAATACAGAGACTAATATTTAAGTGGTTGAGATCATAGAAACTAAATTGCAAGAAATAAAGTTTCAAGGGTTGGGTTATAACTGAGTTAAAACTAGAAAAATTAAATTATAATAAGTTAAAGTTTAGGAACTGAGTTATAAGTGGATTAAGGGTCAAAATTACAAGAACCAAATGATTGATTTTTCTAAAAAAATGATTTCTTTTTTCTTTATGTATGTGTTTTTGCCAAACGGGTAAAGACACTATTCTATACTAGTGAATTAGGAAAATAAAACATTCTATACTATTTCTTTTTTCTCCAATCATTTTCTTTTCACATCCAAACAATCGATAATGTTCAAACAAATGGAGCATCGGGACAACAATACGAGAGCCCTTCCCATAGAACCGAGAGGTGCGTTATCTGTCATTTTATTCATCATTTGTCGTTATATTATCCGACGTTTTCATGTCCTTTTCTGAATAGCTGTTTCTTCTTAATCTCCCTGCTTTTTAACCAAAGAATCTTTTCATGTTTACATACACATGATATTCGAAATGCGTGTAAATGCGCTAATTCTTCTATGAATTGTGTGTTTGTTTTGCTAAAAGTTGAAAACGTACAGAGCTTGCTCAACGACACCATTAGGTTTTGGTTAATTTTTTTTCCTATGATAGATTATTATACTTTAAAAATAATCGAGGAAGTAAAGAACAATGCTCCAATATTATATTCATAAAGAGAAGGACACATATAGAATTGTCAATTAGAGCCAAGCCTATCAGGTTGGTCTTTTTAAACTCAAAAATAAACGGGTTGGCCCTTTTAAGCCCTTTTATTATTTTTTTAAATTGTAATATAAAAAAATAAAAGATTAAATATATAACTAAAAGAAATGAATATATTAAATTCATTCATCCCTCCTCCATTCATTCATTAAAATTTAGTTAATAATGTTAACCAAGTCTAATTTTTATTGGTATTAATTTTGATATTGCTATTTAATATTAAATTTGAATGTTTATATTTTTTTATTTGTTGTGATGTAAATTAATTTAAATTTATTTTCTTAAACTTAATTTTATGTATAATAACTTTTTTTAAGATTATAAATATATTCTTTAAAATTTTAAATTAAAAAAAGTAAAACAAAAATATGGCCATGGCCCTGAGGGCTGGCCCTTTAACTCTGAGAGCTAGGGCCAAGCCTTGTAAAAGGGAGCCCTAAAACATAATTGTGTTTATTAGAACTAGTCCGTTTAGGTCTTGGCGGTTGAATTGGCCTTAATTAACAGTTGTAAACACATATAACTAGATATCATACAATATGGATTCACCTTTACATTGCATAGAAATATTCAATTTTTCAAAAGAAATGTACAATTTTAAAATAAAAGAGGTAAAACATACTCCCTTCAATCTCATTTGTAAAATATATTTTAGAATGTCTATTTGACCCTATTTATAAGTTATTGTGTGACTTTTTAGTTATAAACAAACAAGTAGAAGTGAAGAGACAAGTTCGAAGATGGTAAAAACAAACAAAATAAAACCTAATCTTTGTTTGACATGCAGTAAAATGATTTTAGTTATAATTTAAATAAATTAACATTGTTAACATTTGATCATTATTCTTATGAGAATATTTAAAAATAGTGAGACTAACATTACAAACAGAAAAACTATAAAGACCTCATGTACTAGCAAAAAAAAAAAAAAAAGAAGTATAGGAATCAATAATAACATGATAAAACTATATGGATGAATGATTGTGATTTTGTCAATAAAACAAATACAAGGTTTTGTCTTTAGAAAATATCATTTCAATAAACAGTGAATGCATGACGATAAATAATGATGAATAATTTGGTGTGCTATAGTATATTGATTGGCCAATCTCAACTCGATAAGACCTCCAGCTCGCCTACCAACACGGTGTTTCAAAGCTAACAAGCTTCATAACTATTATTTAGTCAAGTTTATTATAATAATATGTTTTGGGTATAGAAGCCCGAGATTTTGACCTAGTGGCCACACCACACTATCATCATGATTATTTGCAGGGAAATATTCTGAGAATTTTGCATCTAATTAAGCTTGACAGTGCTAAACATTGGTTTTATTCTAGATGTTCACTGCAGATGAATTAAAATGAAGTGGAGCTAGCTACTGTCAAGTCAGGAAATTAAGAATGTGTATCACTATTAAATCTGTTAGTTGCGTTTATCATCATTGCCACAGGGTCAAGATAAGAATGCTAGAAGGAAAAATTGTGTCCACATTTAATAGATAATCGTATCTCGGATAAGATCACGTCCAATAGGAGAATACTTGGTGGGGGTACTTTGTTACAATGGCAGTTTGAACATTTCATAATGGCATCAAATCAACATCAAAACTTTAGCTTATACAAACAACATTGTGAATTGAATACTTATCAAGCTTGTCTTGCTTACAAAGTCAAGTCACTGGACAAAACTCAGACCTAAATCTTTAAAAGACAGATTTGACCACATTATAGTACTACCCCCACCTCCCAAAACACGCACACATACACACACAGAATTACTTAAAAAACAAGTTTTATGATTCATAATTAATCAACAACCAGTAGCCTGTGCCATTGCCTCTCTACCTTCCATCCACTCCAACCACTACACCTTCTATTCTACTCTTTGTTCTCATTTTTATAAACTGCAGATCCATGACTCTGTTTCTGGGGCAGAGAAGACCCTTTTAAGATTGGATTTTTGAACAATTTTCTTCTTCTTTTAGTTGAATTTTCTTCCTTATGTTGCATCGCATGGCCTCTTCTCCACCCTCAAAAATGAATGCCAAACATGGCACTGAAGAGAATGGAAAGTCTTCTTTCCTCTTGTTAATTCTCTGCCCTTGTCTCGTATGCTTCATTCTGTTACTGATAGCACTGTCCATTCTTCTTCTTGTGAAGTTCCATTTCATTTGCCACACTCCTCTGCATTCCTTGCTTCACAGAAAAGGATGCTGATTTCCCCATTATCCGTTTTCCAGAAAGTTAGGATCTTTGAGTTTTTAAGGAATTTTGCTAGTGGAGGTGATACTGACGCTGGAGTTGGATCTGGGAATGTGACTGCATTGATAAACATGGAAGACTAGCCAACACATGTCAGATTACCAGATGATGCAGTGAGAGTATACCAGAAGATTATATACATGCGGGATTGCACCATCAAAAATAAATAAAAATTCATGAAAAATTTGCTGTCCTGATTATGATCTGTACATTGTTCATTTGAAGGCTTTTTAGAGGAAATGACAGAGAAGGGAATGGAGGCTCCTCAGCTTGAAAATAGGAAGTTTGCCGTTTTTTTTTTCTTTCTTCTTAAGATGAATTGGAATGAGAACTCATGAGGATGAAAGAATGTCTAACGTCTTAAATAGCACCAACAAATGTGCTTGCATTTTACTAATTAGTAAGGTTCTTACATAGGTAATAGGATTTGAACTCATACTCTTGCAAGCTGAGTCAAATTCTTATCAATTAGATGAACATTGGCTGGCATAACAAGTTTGCTATTGAATTTTCAAGAGGTGGGCAGCATGATACATAAATTAGGAGTTAGGACAAAAGATGAAACTGGCTGAGAAGTTTGAAGTATCAGATGTGTTATCAGTGTTTGATAAGGTTAATATTCCATGTCATTAGTTTGAAGGCCTTGCCAATGTGCTTGGACATTTCAACATGGTTTGAGAAAGATCACTTCTCATTCTGATGGTCTCGAGCATCATCTATGCAGAAGCTCAAGTTCACTCTTCAATTTCTGGAACTTTTTCTTTTTTTGGTTTATTTTGTACATATCTCTGTTTGTTAAAAATGACAAAGCTAGCATCTGTGTGATACTTTGACTCAGTTGGATTGGAAACAGCACAGCCGACTCCCCTTGGAAATTTTCTACATATTTGGTGGTGTTTCAGTGAAGTGGACAAAGTAATCAGCATTTTTTTTTTTTAATGAAACTATGCTAAAATTCTGAGTGGAAATTACAAGGAAAACAAAACTTTAAATCTCTACATTTTGTTTGTATTTTACTATAAGTCTCTCTCTCTCTCTCTCTCTCTATATATATATATATATATATATTTTTTTGGTATTCTAAGTCTTTACACTTTTATTTTTTGGTGTTCTAGATCTCTAAGTGAACAAAGTATAGAAACTTTGGAGAAATTTAAAATACTAAAAAATGAAAATATAGGGATCTAAAATCCAGAAAAAAGTGCAAAAATATATAGTAAAATGCGATCAAAGTGCAGGGACAAAGTTATGTTTTACCAAATTAAAATGTCAAAATAAAATACTGTCTAGTCAAAGAACCTAAGGTAAAATTTTGCCTTTGTTATGTTAACTTTTGATCATGAGGATAAATTAATAATAGGGTTAAAGTATACTTTTGATCTTCTATTTTTATATTAGGTTTCAATTTAGTCACTTAATTTTATAAAGTATTTTTTTAATTTTTTAACCATAGGATTACTATTTTCAAATGATTATTTTTTGTGCTAATCATTACTATTTTTTAAAAACTTAAACTTAATATGCTAACATTTAAAAATATTTTGTTAATATATAAAAGTTTCATATAAATTTTTTTGGTAATATAATTAATGGTGTTATGATTAAATGATTAAACATGTACTTTATAAAGTTAAAGGATTTAAAATAAAATATTGTACAAAATTAAAGAATTAAAAGTATACTCTATCTCAAATAATATTTTAATTTTCAACATATATATAAATAATTAAATTAAACATTTTAGAATCCTCACAAGAGCATTCCTAATATTAAAAATAGAATAAAAGGATGGACTTTTAAAATATAATTATATTTTACTTTATTTCGCTTAATTTCTGGAAACGCATTAAACGACGCCGTTGTTTGTGAAAGCAACGCGTGGGTGAGGACTTGAACGGTAATTGACATCCTCAATCCGCGACTTCTCTCTGCATCATCGCTTCCGGTATCTGCTATCTCCGCCTGCGTGGTGCTAGCTTGGCCCTGTGAGTTATTTTATCTGAACTATCTCCCTACAAATTTGCAATCTTTGAACCCTAATGCTTTTCTTCGCTCATTACTCCCTGCTTTTCAGCAGCTGCTTTCCTAGTTTCACAAATTTTTTTCCACTGCTTATTATTCGAAGAGCACACAAATTCTCCCGGTTTTTTTTTTTTTTGGGCTGAACTCTCCCTCTGACTTTTTTTGGTTGATATTTTTGTTTTCACTTGGGTTTGCTTCATTTGCCTGATTGAATTCATTAAAAAATGGGAATACTTTTGTTTATCTGTTTAATCAGTTATTGCTAATTAATTTTACTATTAAATTTGTCATGTGTACTTAGTCACGGCATCTTATAGCGACTAATTTTTAATTTTTGATCTCCTGTAGAATTCATTTCTTGTTTGCTGCTTCCCATACGTTCAAATTGTGTGCGCTATCTTGCATGGTCGAAGAGAAGGCTGCGGTCTTCGTCCTATTTTGAAAGTGCAATTTGGCATCATCCCTCTTGCATTTTGTACAGTTATCTGAATACTATATAACATTTTTATGATTTAGGTCTTCCCTTCACTGATACAAGAAACTAAAATGTCACTTGTATTCCCATCGTCCTCTACTGCAGCTTGGCATTTTACTCGATGTAAAATTTATAATTTGGATTTCCATAAGAAATCTTCATATATTTCATACACTCCCTTCCAACATCGAACAGTTCTGCGTTGTACAACAGAAAATATACTTCCCAACATTAGAAATGTACCAAATATTCTTCGTAAGTATGCTTTTAGATGCAAGGGAGCTCATAATGAATCATTTACTGAAGAAAGGACAATATCCTTGGATTTGGATGATGAAGAAGACTTTGAAGATACAGGGTCACCATGGGAAGGTGCAGTTATATACAAGAGAAATTCATTAATTTCTCATCTTGAGTACTGCACCACCTTGGAAAGATTAGGTCTAGGAAGTCTTTCAACTGATGTCTCTAAATCTAGGGCTTCTGTTATGGGATTGCGTGTTACAAAAGCTGTGAAGGACTACCCACATGGGACGCCTGTTCAGATCTCCATAGATGTGACCAGAAAGAAGAAAAAGTTGAGGCTAGATGGGATAATAAAAACTGTCATCTCTCTTGGTTGTAATAGGTATTGCCTTCAACTTAGCCTGATTTTATACAAATGTGGTGTTTTTTCTTAAATGTTTGTCCTTCTCTGATTCGCTTTGCTAAAAATATATTTGTCCAGGCCTCAAAAGCTAAGTGCAGTGCTCTATATTGAAATTATAATTTGTTGCTTGATGACCTTCATCATTGTAGTGAAGTTTTTTTTTTTACATATCATAGAGCATGTTTAATGAGCCAAACGGTGGTCCCATTTCAGCCTTTGTTCAGTGGGAATGAGGATTCTTTAGTCTGGTCTGAAAAATGTACTTGGGATGATAATTTCATGGTCTTGATTTTTTGGAGATTGAAATATTTTATTCCCTTGGGGAGATTGAAACATGGGCAAGAACAATCATTGAAATTCTTTGTAGATTATATCAAAAATGTATTTGGCCTCCTGCCCCCTTTTACTTGAGTTCATAGGCCACAAAGGCAATTCTGTTTAGGTGGTTATCTAGAAAATGAAAATCATGTTTATTTCCTTAGTTTAAGATACAGCTCATAAATAAAATGGCGACATAGGTATATCTTATTTGGTCTATCAGTAATTCTGGGAAGATTTTCTTTTATTTTACAAGTCAGCTTAAGAATCACAAGGCATGGCTAAGTTTGATGTTCCATGTATGTCTTTGTTTGTTGCTTTTGGAAAAGTGAAACTTCAATTGGTGTGATTCTAATGATCAAATGTCTTCAAGACATCTTCAATTTCTCATGCCAACATCAGAGGTTATATTTTTAACTATTAGTGCATTGGCATATCTTATTTAGCATATCAGTAGTGTTGGGCAGATTTTGTTTTTCAAGACCATCTAAGAATTACAAGGAATGGCTCAGGATGATTTTTCATATATATATATATGTGTGTGTGTGTGTCTTCTTTAATCCCTTTTGGTAGATTGAAACTTCAACCAGTGTGAATCTAATAATCAAATGTCTTGAGGTCTTCAATTTCTCATGCCAACGTCAGGGGCTAGATTCAGGATGTCGTATTTGGATGGGAAACAGAGGTATTAGCTTACTTTTGTGGGCTATGGGATGATAGAGTTATATTTAACCTGTATTTCGCCTGCATTTGTTTTTTGTTTCTTAGAGGGATTTGATAACACTGTTGACAACTTAGTTTTCTTGATGTTTTTCTTTCTTTCTTTCTTTCTTTCTTTTTTCTCTTTTTGGTAATAACTTTTCTGGATGATCAGGTACGCTTCCTCATAAAATATACAATTTATACTGATTCACTGTAAATTAGGGCTAGCCGATTGAGTTGGATGGTTGTCATGCTTCCTAGAGCTGGAGTGGAGAAATAGTACTGATTTATGCAGTAAGCTATAGTTCTATTTCTCAATTTGGAATACCATACATATTTTATTAGATGCATGGATGGGTGTTGCTCATGAGAGATTGAACTGTAACTTTCGATCACGTTTTTAGAGAAGTGAATAGATGTGAGGATTAGTTGGCCTGTCATGCTTTGAAGGACAATTTAGACCTCACAATTTTCATAGACCAACCCTGAGGGTGTAAAAGCATGACTTGGTACGTGAATTGATCCCCCCCCCACCCCAAACATGGTTTTACTGTGGTCTTGTATTCAAAAGCCAAAAAAAAAAAAAAAGATGTATGGATTTCCTTTTTTTAGAAGTCATAACACTGATGCAAGTATACAAGGAGCTGTAAGCACACAAATTTTGAACATGTAGAGAGGTTTTAGGTGTGAACACTCCCTTCCTCCTGGCCGCCCCCCCCCCCCCCCCGTTTTTTTTTTTGGCATAGAAGATGGGTATAGCAAGAATTCATTGACACAGTGTGGGCATGCAATCCCAAAATGATGTGAACGTGGTGAGGCACTCCTGGCTCCTTATTTGTGAAATGTTTTAGGTATTTGAAAACTTGCAATTGAGAACAAAAAGATCTGAATATTCTGATTATCCTGCATGAACTGTCCTTGAAGAAATCCTGAAATTGGTTGGTCTCTTTTTATCTCATCTTGCTCGACATATTCCTTGGCTGCTCAACATGTTATGCAATTTTTCTTGGGGGTCTAATGACTCGTTCTCAACATTTTATATTCTCTTCATTGTCTTCTGTTATAACTTGCAAGGAAATTCATTTAAATCTTAGTCTTTATATTTTTAAGCATGTTGTCTTCTCTATTTCCAATACATCCTGAAACAGCTTTCTGATCTCCATATATGAATATAAATACATATATATATATATATATATATACGCATGCATACATGCATGTGTGTGTTTGACCAGTGTCTCCTAGCCCTGAACTGAACAGATGTGGTTGGTTAGTTTATGAAACCTTAATTTTTTAGTCCCTGAACAAGGTAATTGGACCAAGGCAACCTGTGAAGTTAATTCCTGCAATTCTCTAATTATCCTTTTCTCCCTTTAAAACAAATACTCTAGATGAACTCCCTGGTTAAGGCCAGCTCTCCAGCGGATGTGATGATAATATAGAGTTCTTTGATGGTTGAAATAATCTTATACGAGGCAGCACGATTTGCCAAGTTCTTTTCCCTTGAGTTACTGAAAGCTCTTCAACACAACTTCTTTCTTATATATTGTGGTGATTATTGATTTATGGAGACCATTCTTACTGAAATCATCAATCACTCTATTATGTTTTCAAAAGTGCAAGTGAATAGGTTTGAAGGTAGATTGAGGAAGATGCCAAAAGATAAAAAGAGAAGAAGACCATGTGTTTGCATGTGAGAAATTAATACCTTATATGAGTATGCATGGCTATGAAAGATATCAGTGTTCTAGTTTCTTTGTGTTCCGCAAATTCATTGAAATTATGATTGGCACACTGAAATGCTTAAATAGCTTGTTTGAATGTATTGTTCAATTGAAGGTGTGGTCAGCCGGCTGCTGAGGGCATATTCTCTGAATTCTGTCTCTTGCTCACTGATGAACCGATTGCTGAACCAGAGACTATTGACTTGGGAGTTATATATGGGAAAGACATTTATAACAATGATGAAGATGACAACAATCAGGATGATGACAATGATGCACTGATTGACTTAGATGATCGGCTGCATTTTCCTCCTGAAGAGAAAGAAATTGACATCTCAAAGCACATAAGAGACAGGGTGCATCTTGAGATTACCATTAATGCTATCTGTGATCCCAGATGCAAAGGGTTGTGCCTGAAATGTGGTACAAATCTGAACACTAGCAGTTGCAATTGTAGCAGAGAGGAAATTAGAGAGAAAAGCTTTGGCCCTCTTGGGAATTTGAAAGAGCAGTTGCAACGATAAGGTAGGTGGAAGTTTATGTCTAACTTCTCTTTGTAGTTTTTGTTTATCTTTGAATATAACGTCGTTAGTTATTCTTATTCTGGAGCAATTTTTTTTTTTTTGAATAGAAATTGATGCGATTTTCCATCAAATACATACGAGGGTTTCGGGTACTGGTGTCATTTTAATTTGTGTACTATGGTTGCGAAAAAAAAAGGTCTTTTACAAATTAATTCATATTCCAAATGTGAAGGTTAAAGGTAACATCTTGTCTTCGGCCTGGCCTGACTCAACTCAGTATGTTTATAGAAAGAATTTCATATAGGTCTCATAAGAAAACTAATTACTTATAAATCCCATCCACTTGTAAAAGCTGGAGTTTAACATGGACATATAGAAGTTTGACTTGTTAATGGATTGACAATAATTAATTTTCTTATGTTTATATCGGAAAGGATCAAATCTATTGGACTACGAAATTAGTTATCCACCCCGTGTATGAAGGGTAGGTAAATTTCAAAATTAATTACTGTTAACTTGTTAGGACTTGGGATGGACAAAGAAGGTTGAACTACTTCCATACAATTGATATTTGCTTGACACAAGATCTCTCTTACTCTGTATTTAATTTTTCTTGGTTGTGTTTTAATGCTTTGAATTTATGACTTTTTATTGTATAATTGGTACCTCTACAATATATCATGGAGCTGGCATGTGATGTGGGCTGGAGTAACCCACATCCTAGTGGGCTAGATAAGCAGGTTGGCGGGTTACACGATGCATGACTGTTAATCTTGTGGAATACTGTTCTTCAAGATTATGGTTTCCATGTCTTAGCCTCTTAGGTATGCCCGCGATGAGATTTCTCATTCGATGTGTGGAGATATTGTTGTCATTGCTGCTCAGGTCACGTTTGGGTTATGGAAAAAGAGGTAATGGAAAGGGATGGAATGATGGGAATTGGAAAGGAAATAACTACGAATTTATTTGGTAAAACACTTAATTAAGTGAGAATATAATTTATTTATGTTATTTGTTTAAATATAAAGACCATAATGCCCTTATCATAACAAGGCAACAAACATCTTTTTTTTTTTTTTAATCTTAATGCATTCGCCTTTTTTTGTTTTTTAATCTTCATTCAAAAGATTTTCAAAGGGTTATATATGCCTACACTCATGTATGTATTAACGTGCTTCAAAAAAATTTATTTTAAATTTAAATTTGACTTTGTAAAAGTAAAAATTAAGAAAGATATATAAATATGATACATGGAGAATTAAATTTAAAATTTCATTAAATTCAAAAACTTCTTAAAAATTATTTTTAAAAAGATTAAAAATATTGTAAAGAGAAAATAATAAAGAAAATTAAAACTAAAAAAGTAGGTGTGAAATGTTAATGGGGACATTTTAGTAAAAACATATTGAAATTAAGGTGGGTGATATGATTCTTTTTATTTTTCAAAGGCTCTCTCATTTTTAAAAATATGGTTATTCACATTTTTGAGAGAGATTATTACATATCTCTTATAAGCAACTAAATATGGGTGAAATAAAAATGGAGATATAATTATCATTTTATGAGCAAAAATTTTATAACCAAATGAGACTTTAGTTTCCTGATTAATAACATTGTTTGGGCATTGCCCGTTGTCCACCCAAGGAAGGGGTGAGGGGGTGGGGCCTGTTCCTCTCAAGATGCAATAATATCCCTTCCTTTGTTGATTATAATTTGTGTTCACATTTGATGCTCATCAGGTCAGGAGAGATCTTAGTCATTTATTTCAATTTTATTTGATCCCTATCGTTCATTTAAATTAATTTTTTAAATATTTTAATATTATATTTATTAATATAAAAGTTTTAAAATTTAAATATAATCTGTTAATTACCAATTTGGTTAGTACAAATTTAATCTAATAGTTTAATTTGATATTAAAAAAATTATAATTTTACAATTTGACTATATAGCTAGACTTTGTATAGTTCAAGTAGAATTCAGATGACCTACTTTAATATTAAAAAATTTATAAATTTTACAAATTAACCATTTAAATGTACTATAAATAGTTTAAATTTAATATTAAATTTTTTTATATTTTTTATTTTAATAAATATAATATTAATAATATTTAAAAAAATTAATTTAAATAAACAATAGGGATCAAGTAAGGTTAAAATAGAGGGTCATGATTTCTTCTCGCCTGATAAGCATGCGGTGCTCATCACAAATGATGAGCACTGAATGCAATTCCCTATAATTTTTCTAATCGATACCAACATGGGAGAACAACAGCTAGTAAGTAATTATGATATTCTAGGATTTTAATATTAATTGATGAATTTATTAATTGAAATATAAAATGGAAGAATTTGGAGATTGAAATTTGGATTTGACAAATAGAATAGGAATATATTTATATTATGAAAAATTTAAAATAATTAAATTATGTGTTAATATTTTATACTCATTGAAGAATTTTATTGTTGCAAAGAATTATTTCTTCAACAATCTTAATTGATTTGTTGGTTAAAAAAAATCAAAATTGATTATGACCAATATTATCATTTGGAGGATACATATAGATATTATTTAAACATTATTCCAGAATTTCAATATATAGGATTTTATTTATTAAAATAACTACACCTCATCAAATACATAATTTTGAATTAACAAATTAAATTATGATTAGTAATATCCATTTACCTATTCATTAAACTATTCTAGTAATATCCATTTCCTCCTTGTGTTGTGATCATATCTTATGTAGAAAGTATTTTAAATATTTCAATTGGAAATATTTTTTTATGTATTTTACTAATTGATCCAAACATATTTTCAAGTTATCAATTAAATTGTCTAGATATACATCTAATTTTTTGATTATATATTTTATAGTTTTATAAAGATCTTGAATATTTATATGAATTTGAAAAAAAAAAATAGAGAAAACATATTTTAGTCTATTAAGAAATAGTAAAATCAGGTTTCCCAGTCACCAAACTAGAGGATTGTCTGATAAAACAGAATGATTTGAAGATTTTAGTTTAATGGGAAACAAAAAGATCAAGCGTCATGATCCATTTTATTCAGGGGCTAAAAGGCAAAAATGCCCTAAAAATTTTTGCAACAGACACTTAACATTTTAAACTTTTTTTGCAGTATTTTTGCTCCGGAAATTTCAAAAAGGGTACATTTTTGCCTTACCATTAAAAATTATAAATATTGACTATTAAACTAAAGTTTGACTAAAGATATTTCTATATTTATTTCTTTCTTCCTTTTGTGTTTAGTCTCTGATTTCGTTATCCAGTAAATTTTTTAACTTTTCTTCTCCTAACAATTGAAAACGAAGACCCAAAAATGCAGAAATGAAGGAGGGCAAAATTGTAAAATATCTGGGTCAAACTTTAGTTAATGATCAACGTCTCTGATTTTTAACGATAGGATAAAAATGTGCTATTTTTGAAACTTGAGACAAAAATACTTTAAAAAAAGTTTAGAATGTCAAGCGCATTTGGAAAAAAAATTTCAAAATATTTTTACTATTTAACCTTTTTTATTTAAATATGTAAAACTCACTTAAAACTATAGCTCATCTAACGTCACATTCCGGTGAGTTTTCTGAAATTTTTAACCAAAAAGAAGAAGATTAATCAATCGCATACAACATTTACAAATAGCCCTGGCTTGTCATAATCAAAGTGGGAAATTTTCAGCCATATACAAACAAAATAGCACACCCGTGCACCTTTATTATATGTTTTAACACTTTATTTTATGAAAAATAATTTTCTACAGGATACTTTAAAAAAATTTTAGAAAGTTCAACACGGTACCACGAATATATAATTATCAGCCTCATTTGAAGAAATGTAATTGTTAGTCTGCTTTTCGTTTTCGACAATGACAAGCACCTAAACAATAGTATGTCTCTCTGTGTGTATAATCAATGCACTTTTAATTTTGTTTTATACAAATTATTTCTTCCTATGATACTTCAATAACTAAAACTTAAAAGATGTCTATAAAACAAAAAAGTTAAATAACAATTTGATCTCTAAACCATGAATTCATAAGCGTTTGGAATCCTAAATTTATTTTTAATGTAATATTTCTCTTTAACTTTTAAAAATGGTGCAATGTTTCTTTTATCATTAATAAAAGTTAATTTTGACTATTAATTGATTAAAAAAAAATTTAAAAAAAAACCTGTAAAATTTTTTTTGATTCTTTTCTGTAATTTTTTTGGTCCATATTTTTAATTTTTGAGTTTTTTTTTGTAATTTTCTTTGTTTTTTTAATTTTTTTTTGGTTATTTTCTAGTCAATTAGTAATTAAAATTAATTTTTTTTAAATATAGAAGTGATATTATATTATTTTTAAAAGTTGAAGAAGAATATTATACTAAAAACAAGTTTAGAGTTTCAAACATCATTAAACCTATAATTTAATTGTCAAATCTCCCTTTAATTAAAAAGAGAAGAAGAGCTTTTCATGTGTTTGGGATTTTTTTTTTGGGCCCCCCCAATTCATTGTCTAGGATCAATAGGCTTCTCCACATTTGATCACTACAAATATTTGTATGTCTCCCTAAACAAGAGAGAAAGAACACGATATTAAAATTCAACTTGAGTTAACTGATCAAACCAGTAAACAATCTATCTGGTCAAGAGTTTATAACATGTCAACAGATTGGATTTTATTTATTTTTTGCCTCACTTTGCTAAGCGTAAAATGACATCGTTTTAGGTTTAAAAAATTACGACCAAGATTTTAATGACGGTTTAGACCATGAACCCTACAATTAGAACCTTAATCAGTTCAATAACCAGCACATAATTCAGTAGTTTGAGAAAGAAAATACTTTTTTAATTTTAGAGAATTAATCTAATTGTAGAAATTAACAAGAGAATATATGCTCCTGCAACGAAGTCAAATTGATTTGTAACTAATTAATTATTAGAGCTATTTGTTATAAATCAATTAGACTCGGTCAATGTACAAACTACAAAGGATCTATATCTAGTTTATATAATATATATTAAATAATTATTGATGCTTGTGTAATGCTTTTATATTAATAAAGTCAATGTCAAGCATAACCTCATACTTTCCTTGATATTATTCGTCTATTTGATTTTAAACAGGATGGGATAAACAAAGCACGCCAAGTAATTGAGTAGTTGAATGACCAACTTCTAAAAACCATACAAGATTAAAATATAAGTCAACGTCTCAAAATAAGATTGTTATCCAAAAATAAAAATAAATCTTTTTATTATTTTAAGTCTTGTTTGCTGTCGGAAATTTTTTGGCCATCAATCCGAATTGTTTTCACATTTTAAAAAAAAGGAAAATAATAGTTAAGTCCCAAATAAAAAATAATGACAGTTAGGTTTCCAACAATTTTTTTTAAAAAATTAATTATAAATATCAATTCAAACTTATATAAATTTAAAAGTTTCAATTGCAAATACGATATTTAAATTCTCAATATAACAATTAATTTGCAATTCAGATTCTTGTTTATAACTATTTGAATTGATATTTATAATTTATTTTACAAAAAATTTTATTTAAGATTTAACTATCATTAACTCATCCTTTTGGAACTTCACTGTCATTATTCCAAAAAAAAGAATAAGACATAAATATAAAGCCTGTTATATATTTTTGTTTCTGTTACTTATTTAAGATTACTTAATGGAAATTATTTTTTATTATTTTTATCTATGAAACAAAATAGGCATTCTCTTGTAAAGAATAAATTTATTAAAATAATGGCATGTAAGATTTTATTTGATTGAATTGATATAATTTTATTAAATGAATTATATTAAAAATTTCTCCTATGATTATAACATATATTTACCAATTTCATGATCACATTTTTTGTTCCTTTTATCTTTTTTTCTTAAATACTTTACTAGAGTTTGAATATTTAACTTCTTACGTCTCATTCCATCTTTATCATTTGAGTTGTCTTCGTTTCTTTTTACTCTTACACTGTTTTAGTCATTTACTCCACGCTCACACACATAGATATATATCTTTTGAATTATCATCAAAATTTGATGTGAACTATATATTTAAATTATGATATTGTAAGTACTTATTTAAATTAAATTTTTATTTTTCGCTACAAATTAAAATATTTTCATATTTCAAGTAATAAATGATATTTGATAAAAATAATATAAAAAATCTTAATTAATTTAAAATCAACGAGAGTAATTCAATTTGAACTAAATAATTAGACAACAGTACAAAATCCTGTTCCACAGAAAACGTAACAAAGTTGATGAGAAAGCAAATAGAGAAAGCGTCATTTCTGTTTCTTCCGGTGGCTTCTTGCTTCTTCCACACAAGTTGTTCTCTCAATTGAAAAGCCACAAATCTTACCAAAAAACCCACAGAATTATTCATTTCATCATCTAATTAATTAAAAAGTGAAGCAACAGTTTGAGCCCACGATTTCAGATTATCTTTCATGATTGCTTCGTTTCTAGTATCCTCTGGAAGTCTCCAATTCAATAATGGCTCCTCTAGTTTCTTCTTCCTCTCCAGGAACTTCCACGTTTCAGAAAGATAAGGTCTCTGATGAATCGATGACTCGTCAACCTCATCATCTTCCTTTTCCTTCCCCAACCTCTTCAACCCAGGAATGATCGAAGCCAAGCTCGAGTTACTATCTGCTTCTGTGAAAACAAAACCCAGATCTGTGAACCCTTCAACTTCTTCCATTTCAAGTTCTGGTAAGCTCTTGGGCTTTCTCATCTTTCTAATTGACCTCTTCCTCTTTGGTAACATCATGATGAGGCTTGAATCTTCTGTTAAATCCTTCTTCTTCGTTGAAAATGGATGAGATGAATGATCCGGAAGAACAGAGACTGGTGAGAATGACTCAAGTAGCTTGAAGCTATTATCACTCATTGACCTAGAATCCATGGCTGGAATGGCCAAAATCTTCAAATCAGAAGGTTCCTCTTGAATCAATTGTTGATCTAGGTTTGTTGCATGATGACTTGATGAATGCTCCATTCCTTTCATGATTGAATGCTCGAACCAGAAAGAGTCATATAGCTCAAGAATGTCCTCAACTTTAATCGTTACGTTACGTTGACGACGAAGAGACAAGCTATTATGTAGCTCAAGAATGCTAGATAAGCACATAAAAAATATCACTCTTCAAAATATGAATGTTGGAAGAAATATATATATATATATATATATATCTGGTAATGTTGAATTTTACTATATTGCCCTTAATGTTGAAAAATAATAATAATAAAAAAAGGGGTCAACCATCACACCGCTACACTTATTTGCATTTTGGTCATGTAGTAGCCCTCTAATTAAAATGAAATGAACCTGGGTCCTGTTACCTCATTTGAGCATGTACAAAATGAGCAAAAAAAGGATAAGGAGTCCATGGAGGCTGAATTACTATTCATAATAGAAAAAAAGTTAGGCGCTATGTATATTATAAGAAATGAGTCCCATTAGATATATTATTTACTATGAAGTTAATAGATGATTTTAATATCGATATCAAGAATTAATTACACGAAAATTATTTGTATAATAAAAGGTTAATATTGTAGGAAAATAAAAATATTTGTGAGAGACATATATTTAAAATGATATGTATATTTCAATAAATAAATTCATAAGTATAATTATGTAAAATTTAAAATTTGAATCAGTTTTTTTAAATTTTATCTAATACTAGTAATATATTTTATTTTTATTTTTAATTATTTGTAACAAATTAAAATATTACCGATTATTCAGTTTTATTATTATACAATTTTTCTAAATTAATGATAAAGTTTTAATTTCACCAATTAAATAATTAAATGATAAATTTAAAAATAAAAAATAAATATAATGGAGGATAATTTCTCAGTGTTGAAATAATTTAACTATAATAAAAAATATACAAGATATGTACAGAACCTGAAAAAATGTAAATGCAAAATTTATAGAGACAAGAATAGACGTGCTTGGGGTTGACGCAAAAAGAAAAAGAAAAGAAAAGAAAAACGAATAGACATGCTAACAAAGTTTTTTTTTAACAAAAAAAGAAATAGACAACATTTTAAGGTCAGCGTTTTCAGAATGTATCATTTAATTTATATTAATGATATTTAAAACATAAAATGTAAGTTAAGGTGATGGTTCAAAATAGAAAATATATGTAAAAGTCCCATCTAATATATAAAAAATTAAAATAAAATTTAAAAAATAGGATAGCACCAATTGTTATTAATTAAAACCGTTATACTTGTTAAAAAATTAGAATGTCACTTGTAAGATTTGGATAATTTTATTTTTCTTATAAATGTAATAGAATATGATTCAGTTTTATTTTACATTTTTGCTTAAGCATTACTGCATGCAGAACAATATCAAGCCCAAATATTTTCTTATTGTTTCTTTTATGCTGTGAATAAAAAATGGGAGAAACACCATAAATAGGTTCAGTGTTGTTACTTAATATAAGTATGCATGTATATATGCTTATTTACTTTGGATATAAATTTTGGATTAACTTTTATATATATTTTGTGAAGCAATAAAAGAGAGAACTAATAAATATGGTTCATCGATATCGTCTCTGAATAATTAAAATAAATAAACATGCATGTATATAGAGGGTGCCTGAAGCTATTGTCACTCATTGAACAATAATCGAAGCGGAAATGGCCAAAAATCTTTGAATTAGAAGTTTTATCTTTAATTTGTGTATTTAAAGAATTTCTGTATTTAAGTTTGTTTAAAAAATTGATGAATTGTTTCCCCCTGACATGTAGCTCAATGAAATCATCAAGAAGTCACACATTTGGATGGGAAAAAAATGTGAAAAAATAGCGTTATAAAAGAAAAATTTTAAAAATAGTAAAATCTGATTATTTTAAAAATTTTCCTTTCTATTTCTTTCTTCCATAATTTTCTTCCCATAAAATAAATATAAAAAAATATTCTTATCAAGTATTGGAGTGTTTGAGGGCAATATACAAATGTTAAATTTAATTTTACAATATTGTCCTTAATGTTGAGATATCAAATTTACATGCTTGTATTTAGATCATAGGGATGCACTCAAGTCAAAAAGAGATGAATATATGTGAGCATTAATGAAAAATAGATTTAGTATCTTTTTGTTACCTCATGTGACCATATGTTAAATGAATAAAGGAAGTATAAGAGTCCGAGTCCATGTGTTAATTCATTGTACAATTTTAAAATTAATGATAAAGTCTAATCATGATATTTGAAATAAATGTTTTAATTATTGGTGAATTTAAAATTTCATGTTAAACACAATAATATCCAATAAAATTGAAAGTAAAGATGAAAGTAAGAAAATATGATAGCACTCGTTCTATGGACTAAAAATGTTAGGGAGAATATTATTGAAAGACCTCTAAAATGATTTAATATTAAATAAAGACTTGTAACAAATAAGCATTAACAATTGATAAGTAAAAGTGTAAATTTTATCAAGTGTCCGATCTGTCCAAATCTTTGTTTGATATTAAATCATTTTAGTGATCCTTCATCAATATTCTCTCAAAATGTTACTTGTTAAAAATTTAAAATGCGAATTGTGTGATTTGAATAAGATTTTTTTTTCTTAGAAGGTCGTTAGTACTCGCTTGTTTTAATTAAAAAAACATAACAGAAGTTTTCTTTTTCCTACCCAAAGAATCATAATAAGATGATTGTTATTTATTTAACATTTTTATTTGAGCATGAAAGATAAAGAAAATAGTGGAAAAATTAAAATTGGTTAAATGGATAATTTCACTCTTTAATTGTAGTTTTAGGAGCGTATGAAATCCTAAATATATTTTTGGTATAATGTTCCTTTTTAATTTTTAAAAATAGTGCAATATTGACATTACCGTTAATAAAATTAACTTTAAAAATTAGTTTACTAAAAAATAATAAAAAAAGACCTAAAAAATTACATAAAAGGACAAAGAAAATTATGAAAAAGGATTCAAAATTAGAAAAAAAATATAAAAAAGGACCACAAAATTTTCTTGATCACTTTCTATAATTTTTTTTTTGTTATCCAATGGTCAAATTTAATATTTATTAACAGTATGGGCTATATAATTTGAGGACAAATTTTTCATTTAACCCGATTAAAATTAAAAAGATTGAATTGTACTGAATTTGAAAACTACAAGAATTAAGTTGTTTTGAGTTATGAAACTACAAAGATTAAGATAAAATTTGGCATATGAAAATATTATTTGAAAAATAAAATGTGAAATAACAAATGTATCAGAAAGAAAATGAGATAAATATTTTTTTATTTTTTTCTAAAAAGATTTTTTTAACCTACCAAACATTACATAAGAGTTGTTTAAAATAAAAATTTAAGAACTAATCCATAATTAAGAATAAATTCAAAGACTAAAAGTTGTATTTTTTAAATTGAATGCATTCACAATTGTGAGTCACGATAGAGAGAATATCAAATCTAAATATCTTTTAACTTTTTATTTGTCACGAATACAAAAAAGACATAATATATACGATCGAGTACTATTCTTAATTAACAATATAAACATGCATGCATGTATATATATTATGCTTGAATGTAATTTTTAATTAACTTTTACGTGTTATGACTAAAAGAGAGAGAGACAGTAAGTGCAATTTAATGTCCCTAAATAATTAAAATAAATAAACACACATTTACGTAGAGGTTATGCCTGAATATATTGTAATATTTGGATTATTAGAATAATCATTAGCCGCAAATATGGTTGGTAAACATCGTTGCACCATACATATTCCATTGTTCTTTATAACTGCTTAATCTTTAATTTATTCCTCATCTCTATGCATTTTTTTTGTTTAATTATGAAGAAAGTTCAAAGTATTAAAATGAGAAACTGACAGTTAGGTCCTAAAAGTTTGAATTAATGATAATTGGATTTGTGACAACATTTTTTAAAAAATAAGTTATAAATATCAATTTAAATAATTATAAATAAAAATTTTTGTTATAATTTAAGAGTTATATTTGATACTTAAATATATATTTACAATTGAAACCATTGAATTTGCAATTATGAATCAAATTTATAACTTTTTTTGAAATTTTTTGGAACTTAGCTATCATTAATTTAAACTTCTGGGACTTAGCTAACAGTCAATCTCCCTGTTAAAATTAAGTTTGTCACTTCGTCTTCAAAGATGTTAACCGCACTAGTTCTATGCGAAACGATCAAGCAAATTGGAAGCACACAATCATATTAAAGCAAAAATAATAAAACTCTTTTTAGCATCTGTATCTTAAATCAATTGTGATTATAATTGATCTAAAAAAAACCTTTTAAAAGGTTTTAGCTTTTTAAATCGATTGTTTTTATATCTAGCAAGTCAACTTGAAAAAAGGCAACAAAGTTAGAAAAAAGTGACCAAGTTAAATACTAACGGAATAAAGTTTAGTAAAAGAGACTAGTCAATCATAGTGTGGAAAATTAAAATTTGAAATCTCCACTGAGAGAAATATTTATATGTAGTACATGACAGTATCTCACTTAAACAAGATTACTTTCAATAAATTAAAAGAATACATGTGAGTAACCAAAAAAAAAAAAACAAAGTAACCAACTCAAATAAAGTCGCTACCTCCGATGAGCCTGAACAACTCTTCCCCAAATGATTACGTTAAGAACCTTTGATGTTGGTCTCTATTTGGTTTAGGTTTCTCAGATTGTGCTGTTGGCAGAGGAAACATTCAAGACCAATGAGTTAGTAAACATTTATAAACCTGTATACCTATATGCTACTTGAACTATTCCAATATAACTATTATCACTACTCTTCCTTCTTTATGTATAGTTACATTGTTTATTGCATCAATCAAATACTTCGTACAGACTTTGATATGGTTGAAGAGAAGTTTGGTTGATGATTTTCTCGCTCACATTGGAAGAGATAGGACTAAATTAAAGTCTCTCACATAAACACGATGGTCATTTTTTGGGAATAATGATGATAGATGTATCATTTATCTCAAGATCCTTAAGAACTTTCGTGACTAATTGGAATATGTTATCCTATCTTTAAGGCCATCTCAATAAATTTAAATGAAGACAGAA